AACTGTACTTTTTTTTTTCCCTCTAGCACTTCAGAAATGTTCCATTGTTTTTTGGCCTCTGCGGTTTCTTTGAGAAGTGAGTAGTTTTTTGAATTACTCTGTTGTAAGTAATGTGTCATTTTTTATTAGCTGCTTTCAAAATTTCCTTTTTTATCTTTGGTTTTCAGCAGCCTTGCCTAGGCATGGTTTTTTATTTACACTGCTTAGGATTCCTTGAGTTTCTTAAAAATATAATTTTATGTCTTTCATCATCATTAGGGGCTTCTGAGCCATTATTTCTTTAAAAAAAAATTTTTTTTTGAGGACCTTGAGTCTGCTAGCCAGACACCCTACCGCTTGAGCCACACCTCCAGTCCCCCCCTTCAAACACCTTTGTTATTTATTATTGCCTCATTCTCTCCCTATTTCCCTTGTGGGATGCCAACCAACTATACATATATAGTCTTTTATATATTGGCTGGCAGCCCCTGATACTGCATTCTTTTCTCTTTTTTAATTTTTCTCTGTGTTCTTCAGATTGGATCATTTCTACCTCCAAGTTTTGTTTATTTATATCTATTCTGCCATTAAGCCCATCAAGTAAATGTTTCACTTTGGATACTGTATATTTCGGTTCTAAAATTTTGTTTTGTTTCTTATTTATAGCTTCTATTTCTCTAGGCTTTCCTTTCTTTTTCTGGTCTATCCTCTACTTCATTGAGGAAAGTTCTAGTAATTACTTTAAAAACCTTGTTTATTAGTTCCAACACTTTAGGTCCTTTCAGGTTGGTCTCTGATCTTTTCTCTTGAGAATAGGTTACACTCCCCATGTAATTTTGGGTCATATCCTAGACAATGTAAAAATTATACTATGGAGACTCTGAATCCTGAGACATTCCTCTAATACTTGACAATATTAATATTTTTGTTCTAGCAAGTAATTTACTTTGTTGGAGTCAAACTGTAAACACTGTCTCTTGAGTAGCAGCTCAAATAACATTTTTTGGGCCTGATGCATGGATGTGGGGTTCACATCCCTAGTACTGATCATTTCTGATGTGTAGGCAGCCCCCACAAAAAATGAACTGTGATCTAAAGGGCATTTTTAGTCTACTGGTGTAACTCAGAATGCATTTCTCTTACAAACAATTCTATTACCTTGAGTGGGTTATATTAAACCATTAGAAGGCCACTTAACCAAACTGCTTCCAAATCTAGCTGTAATTGCTCATTTACAGAAGAAAAAAGCAGGCTCTGTTTTTCTTTTTCTCATATAATCAGATAACTGGAAAAAATAATCCCTGAATGGGATCACTTTTACCATGAAGTTCTGAGGATGCAAATGTGCCAATTACCATTCTCTAGAATTCTAATATGGGCTGGAATACTCTTTCTGGGTACAGTGTAGAAAAACTCAAGACATTTGTTCCTGTAGCAACAATAAGAAGAACCCAAAGACAATAAAAAGACATACTTTTCTATGAAGCTGGCAAAGAGCATGGGTGCAATGGAGCTGTGACAGTCACCTCCATGAGGGCTCCCAAAGGTGGTTACTCCCAGTATAGGCTCTCCCACCTCAGAGAGCTGACCTGTGTCATTAATGGGATGTAACAAACGATGGCATGTGGCTCTGAGGCTGGCTCATAGCAGTCAGTCCATGCCCTGAGTTTCAGCCACTCTGTCTCTCTTAGGGTTTTGCTATTCATATTACAAATAATTTTTGTCAGGATAAACATGTAAATTATCTTTGTTTTCCCCAAAACTCCTAGCACAGCCCTGACATGCTAGTTAGTGCTCAATAATTATTTGACAAATAAACAAGCATACAAGGAAGAGCTAATTTTGTTTATATTTCCACAAATATCAAGACAATTCTGAGATTTCTTGAAACTGTCTATCATTTATTATTTTTTTTTATGCCTGTTTATACATTTTATGCCCCATTCTCTCTATTCTACTGAGATGTGAATTGCATATAAATGTGTATTTATAATGCAAAAACTATTAACTATATGTGATTTTTATTATATATAATCAGACTTCTAAAATATTATCCCACAGGTCTCTAAAGCTGTGTTTGCTCTTGCTCTAATTCTCTTGGATTTTTAAGCTGAGCAGGGAACTGCGGCTATCTTGGTGACAGAACAGTATAAAAGAAGCTCTTGTGCCTACAACTAAGCAGTATGTAAGCAGTGGAGAACAAGTAAGCAGTTACACCTTTCAGGTCTCTGCTTAAGTATAATCTAGTGCCATGTTTCTTCACAATTAGTGTTTCTTTGGTTTTCTAGCTAGATGACAAGGCCACGAGGGCAGACATTGTCTATTTTGCCTATCTCTGTACTTTCTGCAGTGAAACAGAAGTTGCTCAATAAATCCTTAGCCAAAGAAACTTACTCTCTAGATCTCAAATACACTTGTGCCCATTATATTACTTTTCCTTCAGAGCCTTGATCTGTGCCTTCCCTCTCTCTTCTCTAGGCTAAGGCAGTAAGCACAACATTAACTTGGAATCGGCAGGCGGGGGGGGGGGGACTCCCTTTTCACAGATCCAACAGATAGAAGAGATAGAAAGGCTTCAGCATTACATTAAAAATTCTGAAAATGTTTTGCCATAGAAATGTACAAAGAAATGTCATTTTTAGGTACAAAATAGGCTAAATGACCTTTTAATGAGCTGCCTTAAGAATGTAATGAGCAGAACTAAGAATGCATTCTGAGGTTTGAGTTAAACCAATAAACTAAAAATGCCTTTGGATCGTAGTCTATTTGTAAGTGGAACCGCATACACCCCAACAGTACTAATATTAGAACACTGGGTGTTTCATCCTGTCCTGTTAATAATTTATTTACTATTAACAAAGTAAGCGCTTGATAATAACAAAAATAAATAGTATTTTATTTTCCCTATTTATTTCCTCAAAGATTTGGCACTCACAAAATTTGCTAATACTATTACCAGATACCAACTCAAAGATTAAAAAAACTCTCTCCTCAGCATAAATAGAACTTTCTATAACATCCCTATCTCCACATGAAAGTAGAAGGCTCTTTATCTTAAATAAGGACTATTTCTAAGTTGTGGTAGAGATGTAACTCCCATTTCGACATAGTCTCTGAGGGTTTTGGTGTGGAAAAGTGCCTTCAGCTTTGGAGCATGCTTGCATCATTCTTTGTATCACTATGGTTGAGGACATTTTGTTCACTACTTGGAAAAATCAGTCTGTAGTAAAAATCCTTTAAGAATTAATTAGAATTAATGACTATATAGTTTCAGAGCTGTATCCAAAATCAGCTGTAGAAAAATCACTGAGCTAATACACCACTGTACATTTTATTATCCCTACTTCACGGAAGGTTCTGGAACAAATCTCTCAGTTTGGATTTCATCAGCCTATATAGGCACTGAGTTCACCTAGGGCTTTCCCAACATAACAAATGTGTAGTTTTCCTACGGGAAGGACACGGCTCCTAGGATTGTCCTCTCAGAGCAGTCACAAGTCACTGCCATTCTTCGGAGGCAGGCCATTGGGGGAGTGGCTCTCTTCTATGTATGCTACTGTCACCCCACTTCCTGCCAGAACTACATGGAGTATGAGCCAGGTTCTTCTGGCTAAGTAGTCTCAAGGGTGTGCCTTTGGTTCCTGAAGTGGGGAAAGAAAGTAAGGCCAGTAAAGTGGTTCTGGGAGGAGAGGAGACTGGTCCTCTTTGATCCCAGACTACCCTAGAAACAATAAGGTATTTCTATCCTCCACTTGCACAGAGAGGTAGAAGTCATCTTTCTAAAAGCCTGGCTGAGGAGGAGAGATTATTGCTGCTCTGACAATAAAAGACTCATTGATCTCATTAACTGAAATATCTGTCTGGTTGCTAGAATCATTTTTACTGAGGGACTATGTTGAAAGTTGAATTCTAAATATTTCCAATTGGTAAAAATCCGACATACTAGGCTACTACTGAAGTAAAATTGTCATTGCAATGGAGTTCACAGGAAGAACACTTTTTTTTTCATTTTTCTTTTATTATTCATATGTGCATACAAGGATTGGTTCATTTCTCCCCCCTGCCCCCACCCCCTCCCTTACCACCCACTCCACCCCTTCCCGCTCCCCCCCAATACCCAGCAGAAACTATTTTGCCCTTATTTCTAATTTTGTTGTAGAGAGAGTATAAGCAATAATAGGAAGGAACAAGGGGTTTTGCTGGTTGAGATAAGGATAGCTATACAGGGCATTGACTCACATTGATTTCCTGTGCGTGGGTGTTACCTTCTACGTTAATTCTTTTTGATCTAACCTTTTCTCTAGTTCCTGGTTCCCTTTTCCTATTGGCCTCAGTTGCTTTAAGGTATCTGCTTTAGTTTCTCTGTGTTAAGGGCAACAAATGCTAGCTAGTTTTTTAGGTGTCTTACCTATCCTCACCCCTTCCTTGTGTGCTCTCGCTTTTATCATGTGCTCATAGTCCAATCCCCTTGTTGTGTTTGCCCTTGATCTAATGTCCACATATGAGGGAGAACATACGATTTTTGGTTTTTTGAGCCAGGCTAACCTCACTCAGAATGATGGTCTCCAATTCCATCCATTTACCAGCGAATGATAACATTTCGGGAAGAACACTTTTTAACTTAATGCTAATTCCTTTATTTCTGAGGCTGATATCACTAAGTTTATGATGGTACGTGTGACAGTGTATATGTGTATCCAATCATGTCATAGACTTAGTATGTATAATTTTATTTGTCACTTATGCCTCAATAAAACTGGACAAAAATAAAGCCCTTTATTTCCACGGCTGAAAAAGTATGGGCAGACTCATTTTTCTTTTGACTGGAAAACATACACAATTTACTGATTGAACCCATAGCTTATTAAACTGAACTCAATATGCAACATTCTAAATTGCTTGTCCAATCCTTAGTTCCTAAGGATATTTGGCTTAGCATATTAAGGCCCAAAGCAAAATTGAATAGAATCATCAAAAGTAGTTCATCTATTTTTAAATCTCAAATGTGAAGTCACACTTACCCACTGCACCCGATGACTTTATTGTATAGATAAGATGGAAGGCCTTTCAGGTGGATGTTGTTATCCACATACACATACTGTAGTTCTCGAGATCGACCTAAATCTGGATTAGAGAGAAAACAGCTATCATTCCTTTAAATAGGCACCATTATAATGTGAAATATAAAATTTAATACATAAAATTGGAAATATACAAAAATGTCTATACTGGATAAAAAAGGCTGTAGACTTAAAATTATGTCAGCTGCAATATTAGATTCTGCATCAGAAAACATGGCTGTAGAAAAATGACTTAGCCTATACTTTGATTTCTTAAGCTGTAAAATGAAATCACCAGGACTAGAATATTAACAAATTTCCTTCCACATAAAAGTTCTTTGACAATTTCAACTTCAGAGTAAGTTTGCTAGAGGTCATTTATTTTCTTTCTCCATAGAAAATGTTTTTTAATAAAGTAAGTTGATGGGTGAGCCAAAACAAACCTGCATTTGCCCTCTGAAAAAAATTCTTTGCTTGGCCGAACTTTTGCTTGCTGATCCTCATGTTAGATTCACATGAGTACTTCTTTATAAAATTCAGTTGTGACAAGGAAGCCTGCTGTATCTGTTTAACAAAAACCTCTCCCTTCTTGTTTGATCACCCTTGATTCCTGGTCAAGTTCCTTGTCCTCTATCATCTGTCAAATGATGTCTGATCACACCAGCTCATTGCCAGTAAGAATCCTGTTAGGTTGTTAAGCCAACATCCCCTTTACCTCTTAGTAATTAATTTTCCATGCTCTGACTCCACGCTGCTCCTTGATTGTAAATTTGCACTTGCAGGTGCTGTAGTTTGTTGGCCTACTCTCTCTCCCTCACTGCAAGACCTCACTGCAGTGGTCCCTCTACCTATTTCATTGGTCCCCAATAGTGTTCCTTACTATGCTTTAACAGGTGTCACTGAACAACCATTTTCTTTAAAAAAAAATCTAAATATCAAGATTTCCTTTCTGGCTTGGGCAGAAAGACTGGAAATGGGTGAGGGAGGCTAGGGACTAGGGCTGACCCGGCTGGAGTCTCAGGAGCTAGGCAGAGGTGGGAATGGATAAAACCTCCCTGTGGCTGTTGGCTGAGGAAGAAGTGAGGCAGAATCCAAATCCCAGTGACCAGGGAGGTGTGATGGTGAGGTTGACAATTCGGGGGCAGAGGCTAGGATGGGAACATACTTAACACCACGATCTGAGAGTTAGATGTGTTCATCACTCAGGAGGGGTGCCATAGCTTCAAGGATCTCTCTTCTGTGAAACATGTGCGTATACTAGCCAATTCATCTCAGTATTCACCACAACTGTTAGAGGTGTGCCTTCAGGATAGGTTTAAGAAGTGAGCTGCTAGGTCAAGAGACAAGTACACGTGTAGATTCTTTGGCACTGCCAGAATTTCCTTCAAAAAGAGTATAGCAACCTACATTCCTACCAACAATGTATTAGAGCATCTTCTTCCCCACATGAAACAAAGCATGTTGTCATCTTTTTAAACTTTGCCACTCTGATAGGCAAGAAATGGTATCTCAGTATTGTTTTAATTTACACTTGTTAAAACTGTGTAAGTGAACATTTAAAAATACACCTGGGAACTGCCAAGTCTTTTCCCATTTTTCTACTGGGTGCTTGGTATTTTTGTCCTTTACTTTTTTGAGAAAACACTTATCTTGGCATATGTTACAAATATTTTCTTCCAGTTTTTCAACTATCGCTTGGTTTTGTTGATGCTCTTTTGTTATGTAAAAAATGTGAAGTCTTTATGCAGTCAAATTCATCAGTCTTTTCAATCCTGTGATACTAAGATTAAAGAAAAATTCATTCATGTTTTCCTCTAGTGCTTATGTGGCTTCATTTTTCTTCTTTACTTTTTCATTGTTTTTAATATTTAGATTCCTAATCAATTTGGAATCTATTCTTATGTATGGAATAAAATGTACAGCTAGTAATTTCTTTTGCTACTTGGTGATCCAGCCATCTCAGCAACATTTATAAACTTTTTAGTCCACCTTTATCTCAGTAACACTAAAAAGGGGAAGAATAAATCTCTAAGCCCAGGAGGAAAGGGGCGGGGGAAGAAAGAGAGAAAGAGAGAGAAAGAGCATTTAGATTCTAGAAAAGAGTAACTATGCTTAAATCGCACTGCCAAGATGTAAAAACTAAGACACAGACAGTGATCCAGAAAAGATGTGTCACTGGAACATCAGCACTCGGTGGGGCTAAGAGGCTTATGTGGCTTTGTTTTACTTACTAGCCACTGAGCAGAGCCTCAGTAGTGCATATGCTAACTGGCATATCGGTACATGGTCCCTTGACTTTATCAGGGGAAGGATCATATAAAAACGACTTGCGAAATTTAGTAAATCATTACACTTATGCTTTTTTAAGCATCAAAATATAGAAATGCCAAAATATAGTATACCCCTACTTTAATAAACTAAAAAGCAGTATGTTTATGAAATCGATACAGGAAAAATACAGATAAATACCAGAATCCACTTGCAATAGAAAAGACCTCAGGATAATACTAAGAATTCTTACTGAAATTTCTTCACTATTCCTCTGATTTATAAAAATATTCTTAAAGCATAACTAGAAGTTTGTAGACTTTAAAAGCATATATAAAACTTTGCAATTTTAAAAAATTGAAACTACACTGATAAAATGAAAATGATCTCGTTTCAGATTTGCCTTTCAGAGCTCCTAGAGGGTTCAAGGAAAGATTCTTTACTTGGGTTTATGCAGCAGTATGTGTGTAGCATGCTAATCATTAAGAAAGCAAGAGAGGAGACTTGGAGTGAGACAACCTGGGTTTGATCCTCATTCTTCTACTTTACTAGATGTATGGCCTGAATTTTTCATATGTATAGTAGGCAAAATAAAACTGCCCCCTATGTTTAGTAAGAATTAACGATGAAGTTTATAAACCATCATTCAGAATTCTTGGCAAGTAGCTTTCTCCAACATACAGCAGTTTTTATTCTCCTGTTATTAGTAAGTGGTTCGTTTGGAAGTGTGGCTACAGTAGAAGGCCAATTAAGAAAGAATTCTCTTTGGCATGCATCAAATGGTGCTAACACTTTTCTATACCTTAATTGAACAGAAGAGTTGGAGGCTATAGCCTCCAGAGACAGTGATTCATCACTTCAAGCCAAGGACACAAAATGGGACATGACGGAGGAAGTACCTTTCGCCTCTAATATATCACAAAAGAGCATGCACAAATTAAATGATGTGATATGTAAAGATCACACCACAAAGTTCAATGAAAGTTGACACTTGCTACTTCTAATATAGGTTAGTCTTCTTTGCTACCTTAGTTTTATAGGAAAAAGAAGAATAGCTAATGATTTAAAAATATTATTTGGTTTGCATTTTATCTTAGGTTTTTAATATTACAGAAAATTGGGCTTGCCTGAGCACTTTATAATTTTTTAATGTATGCCCATAATGGGATGAACTATTTTATGTTAAAGCTAAATCAAAACTGTCATTAGCTATGTTCAAATTTATTATATATTAGACAGTATACCGTCATTGTGGACATGAGTACTTTAATACACTTAAGCTTCCCAAATAGCACAATGTGACACAGAATGAAAAAGGCAGTGCTGAAGTGACATGATGTAGTGGGTTTGGAACCAGAACTGAGTCTGAATCCTAACTCCCCACTGTCTGAATCCTGATTCCAAAAGAAGTAACATGCTCTGAGCCTGTTTCCTCTACTGCACCATGGGGATAATAACACTGAACTCACAGAATTAAGAAGATTAGACAGTGTATATGGCATAGAGTTTGATTCCTTGCAAAATAATTGGTGCTTGATCATCTTACTTAGTCTTTTACCTCCCTCTTTTGAATATAAAGAGAAGATCATACAAGGGAATGCAAGATTGTGAAGAGAACCAGGCAGCTCAAGAGTTTTAGCTGACACAGCACAGCCTGCTGGTGATGTTGAGAACTGAATGCTGGGCAAGGTCACAGGCTATAAAGGCCATGCTCTGACAGTCTCATGAGAGCTTGGAAAAGACCATTTATCTACCAGTTAATGAGGTGGTTTGTTTTTTCTATTAATATTTTGTGATAAATATACCATGTCATAACATTGTTAAGTTCTTGTGAAAAATGTTCAAAATATAAAATATATAAAGGAAGTTGCCCATCTGCATAGATTCTAAAGCTATAAAGGACTTTTTCATGTGACTTTTTAAAGTGCTGTAATGTGCCTGAAGTATTTCCGTTTCTTTCTTCTAGACTCACAAGGTCTGTTACTTAGAAATTAGCAAAAGTTACGAGTCCTGCACAAACTCCAATTCTTTTCCTTTTTGTCAACCTCAAGGCTCTGGCATATGCAGTCCATAAGGCTGAAGATAGAACAAAATGTTCCTGCGTGTTCAGGCTATTTCTTTTCTCACCATGTTGTAAAAGCAAGTATGGAATGACAGCACAGGCCAGAACAGAATAGGATCTGTGTTCACTGCACACCGACCAGTACACAACTCAGTTACTGTATTAAAAGGTAAATGATGCATTCTTGTCAATAAAATGATGTGAAAATATAAGTCACAGTCTCAAAGCAATCTACCAAAATCAGTTTTTTTGGAATGCTCTACCAACGTCAAACCAATTATTGTAATTCAGTAAGTCAGAGGTATTATGAGTCATAATTACAATTTTTAGTTACTATATAATGTGGGTTTTTCCTACAATGAAGTCAGAGTAATTTATAGAATATTCCTCCAAATTTTTAAAAATTAAGTTAAATTACCTACATTGTACCTTTTATAATGAGGACATTTCAATCACCTTTTCACACACACACACACAGACTCCATGAACATGAAATCTTTTACATATCATAGTCATTCTGATCTATGCAACCTAAGAATAAAATTTCACAGGGAATTATGATTTAATAAGATACTTTATAAATTGTAGTTCATGAGAAACTTAAAATTTTAAAAAATTGGTTGCAATGGATTTGAATGGCTAAAGGCTTCCTTTGCTGTTGATTTAAATATTCATGCTTTCAGCATCTTTTTGTTCCACACTGAGAGTAACAAAGAAATAACTATAAGCAATGG